GGCCTGTCTGGGTGAGTTGGGGGTGTCCAGCCTGGAGAAGGGAAGGCTGCGGGCAGAGCTGAGTGCGGCCGGTCAGGGCTTCAAGGGGGCCCAGAGGAAAGGGGGGGACAAGCTTTTTAGTAGGGCCAGCTGGGACAGGACAAGGGGGGATGGCTTTAAACTGAAGCAGGGGAGGTTTAGGCTGGATCTAAGGAAGAACTTCTTTGCAGTGAGGGTGGTGAAACCCTGGCAGGGGTTGCCCCGAGAGGGGGTGGAGGCCCCATCCCTGGGACCATTCCAGGCCAGGTTGGACGGGGCGACCTCTGAAGGTCCTTTCCAACCCAAACCATTCTATGATTCTGTGATTCTATGATTTCCCACTGGCAGAAGATGAGCTGGGACCTGGGAACAGAGGCCATCAGATGCAGACTGTAAATAACGTGCACACCACAAGCAGTCCTGGCTATCACCCCCTTGAAACACTTCAGCCAATTCTCCACCTCTTTGAGCCCTTAAAACAAGACACTGTGCCTCCCAGACACCGACAGATTTGGGGCTGGGTGGAGGGATTGCCGGTAAGCGTTGGAGGCTGCTGGAGTCAGAACGGATCATGACACCGGTCCTTTCTAGCACTAGAAATTACTCTGACACTCAGGCACGGCCTTAGAATCACAGCGGGGTCAGCACAAGGGTAACAGCCCACTCCTCTCTCTCCCATTTGCCCGGCGAGATGAGCAATAGATGCGAGGAATACGAGGTTGGGGCTGGTGCTGTTCCTCATCTACGGTTACTTGACGCAGCAGCGCCTGCTTCCACCCCTGTCTTCAGATGCTCCCCCGGGCTAATTCTGCGGCTGTTAATGACGGTTCTCCAAAACCCAGCACTCAGCAAGCGCCCTTCTCGGCTTGCTAAGTCACATGTCCAGCTAAACCCCGTATTTCTCGAGCCCACAGTCTAATTTTTACTATTTTCTAACGTTTGAAAGAATGTCATTTACATTCGTATAAATAAAATATGAGATAAAAATGCAAAACACATGAATAATGCATGAGAGAGAATTATTTTCATAAGTAGCCTCTAAATACACTCCATCAGCACAAGCACAAGAGGCAGAGTCAGGAAAAAGAAGTCACAGTTTACCACGATGAACTGAATTCACCACTACCGCGTACAGCCAGCAGTCACTGCAAACCTAGATTTGATATTTATCCCATAACTCCCATCGCGGCTCCTTCTTGCTGCACCAGCTGATCGTTAATTCACGATTCAGAGAGTTAATAAAGTTATCCAAAGATCAAAAAAGTCTACCAGTACTGCTCGGGAAAACTGGCCAAAGAAAGCAATGGGGTGCGTAACCTTCAGCAGAGAGGTAAGTTGCACAAAAAGTCACTTTGGTTCAACCTATTTTTCCTCCTAAAAGAAGTGGTGCGATGACCTTTCGAAAGGCTTTTTGAAAGCGCAAAACCATTTTTATTTCTCATGGAAGTTACAGGTAGAACCTGAAAACATGCAAAGGGAATATGGAGAGAACCCCAGGGAAGTGAGGGCAACCAGGAGGGAGAGCCAAGGGTGGGGAGAAGCTAAAGACCAAGTGAAGCCCACCCTGCAGCTTTGTCGAATTCGTGCTGTAACCAAGGGAACTCACTTAAATTCTACCACTGGTGTCACAGAGGCTCTCGTGAAAGACCATGGGCAGCAATATTCTGCCCCCCAACACAGCGGGGTTCCACATCCCAAACAGAGAAAGTCTAAAATTACTGAAGAAGTCTGAAAGTACCACGTTCTCCACGGCCCACCCCACCTCCCACCACAGCAACCCAGCACCCTCCTGAGAGGTCCTGGACTTCCCAGAGAAATGACCCCACTGGAGGCTCATCACCAAACTTTAAAGGGCTCAGAACTGGTTGGGACTTGACGAGATGCTGAAGGCTCCACAATCTGCACTGAAAATCCAATGCCGCGCTATTCGGGAAGAAAATATTATGGTAGGGCACAGGACAAAAGGCCAGCGCTGCCCTATCTCTGCAGGCGCAGCAAAGGAAATGAAGCATTTCAGAAGGCGGTTCCTTGCAGGGGCAGTTGGGTGCCAAGCCCAGGGAGGATCCTGGGCACGTCCGCAGAGGCCAGGGCTTCCCAGCGCTCCTGGGAGCCGGACCCCTCCGCTGCCCCTGCTGTGCCGGCATCAACCGCCACTGCGGAATCGGGAGAGAATAACAGCAACGCCACAGACATTAAGGAAGCTCTGGGTCGACAGGAACATGTGCAAGAGGAATGGTGAGCCCTAGTTAGAGACGCTGCATCGTCCACTGCAAGCCTCTCCTTTCACCCCTTTTTCTGTCAAAATGGCACCTCTAGGGGCCAACAAACAAACCCCATTTGTTTGGTTGGTTTAATCTCACCTCAAGTCTCCAGTAAATGTTTGTGGGGGTTGAAGCAAATATAGAGAGTGGTGAACAGGCTCACACAAGTAATTTAAAACTACGTTATGAAGAGCAATGGAACAACACCGAGGGAACAGACTAAACTTGAAAAATCAACGCTGTCTGGTACATGACCCGTACTTGGCATCATTTGGGAAAGAACTCCTAACAAAAACACTC